CTCCCTCCAGACCCGGGAACCTTGTTAGAGTGCGACACGGGCTCTGCGACGATTCTAGCTCCGAGCAATAGAGCTCACGACAGAGCGCAGCGCGAGTTACACTTTTTAAAATCTAAGCTGCTCTTCCTGCCCTTAATCTGTTCTTGGCCGTGTGCATTTTCTATTCTATACCTTACGCTGCAATGACTTGTAAAGGGATTCTTAACATATTAATAAATTTCCCCAATAAAAAATATTTTAAACGTTTGAAATGGGGAAAATCTAAGCTGCTCTTCCTGCCCTTAAATCTGTTCTTGGCGGTGTGCATTTTATATTCTATACGTTACGCTGCAATGACTTGTAAAGGGATTCTTAACATATTAATAAATTTCCCCAATAAAAAAATATTTTAAACGTTTGAAATGGGGAAAGTCTACATTAGGCATAGGGACGCTGTAAAAAATTTTCACTTCACACTAAAATACGTTCAGTCGTGTGGCCANGGCCTCGGGCAGCCCCTGGAGCGCTCCCTGCAGGGGACCCGCGGCCAGGCCACCGGGTTCGCCCAGGGGTGACACTTGGAAACTCGTCGCGCCAGCTGGGCCNTGACTTGTAAAGGGATTCTTAACATATTAATAAATTTCCCCAATAAAAAAATATTTTAAACGTTTGAAATGGGGAAAGTCTACATTAGGCATAGGGACGCTGTAAAAAATTTTCACTTCACACTAAAATACGTTCAGTCGTGTGGCCACACGTGCTCACGGACACTGACACACCCATCTAGGTCTGCCTTCTGCGAAAAGCATTTTGGTAACGCAGAAGTGAAACTCTGGGAACCTAAAACTGGTGGGATACGTTGTGCAATCTTCTAAACGGCAAAAAGATGCTAAAAATACTAATTCTCCCAGTTCGCTCTTATATTAACCTCCAGGATTCTGAATTTTATTTTCCATGTTTTTTAACTCTTTCGTTGTTTCCATATTCTGTTCGTCTCGATGCATTCTGAGTAACTTCTTCAGTTCTGTCTTTCCGCTCATTAATTATTTAGTAAATATCTGAATCTGCTGTTTAACCCATCTGGGACAGGCAGACGAGTCCCTCCACCTCCTCCACGAGGTCCACCTCCTGTACCTGGGACCTGTGAACCTGGCAGAGGAGAGTTCAGGAGCAGTGGGCTGAAGGGTGCTAATGGGAGGGCTTTGAGATGGGAACAGGATGATGATGGATGGATGGATGGATGGATGGATGGAAGGAAGGAAGGAAGGAAGGAAGGAAGGAAGGAAGGAAGGAAGGAAGGAAGGAAGGAAGGAAGGAAGGAAGGAAGGAAGGAAGGAAGGAAGGAAGGAAGGAAGGAAGGAAGGAAGGAAGGAAGGAAGGAAGGAAGGAAGGAAGGAAGGAAGGAAGGAAGGAAGGAAGGAAGGAAGGAAGGAAGGAAGGAAGGAAGGAAGGAAGGAAGGAAGGAAGGAAGGAAGGAAGGAAGGAAGGAATGAATGTGGGCCCACTGTGGAAAAGGGAGACAGACCCAGAGATGGCAGCCTGAGCGGGACTTGGCCAGATGTTGCTGGCTTTGATGATGGAGGGATGGGGCTATGAGCCAAGGAATGTGTGCGGCTTCTAGAAGCTGGAAAAGCAGAGGGAACAGATTCTCCCATAGAGCTGCCAGGAGTGCTGTCCTGCTGACACCTTGATTTTAGCCCCAGTGAGACCCATTTAGACTTCTGATCTCCAGAACTGTAAGATAATACATTTGTTTTGTCTTAAGTCACTACATTTGTGGCAACTTGTTACAGCAGCAACAGGAAACCAACACACCATCCATTTAAGTTCTTAATTTCAACAATAGATTTGCTTTCTAAGAGTCTTTGGTTCTATTTCTAGTTTTCTTGGTCATTTTTAAGTCCCCTGTTCTTTGCTGATTCCATTTTAAAAAAACCAAACATATATAGTTTTGTTTGGTTTTCATTAAACTTTTTATTTTGAGATAATTATAAATTCACAGACAGCTTTCAGGAATAATGCAGAGATCCATGTACCCTTAACCCAGTATCTCCTAGTGGTAACACCCTGCAATAGCACAGCCAGGATGCTGGTGTTGATAGTCAGGATTCAGGACATTTCCCTCACTACAGGGATCCCTCCTGCTGCCCTTTTACACCTCATCACGCCCTCTTTAACCACTGGCAACCACTAATCTGTTCTCCATTTCTTTACTTTGTCATTTCAAGAATGTTATGTGAATGGAAGCATACAGTATGTAACATTTTGAGATTTTTTTTTTGGTTCACTCAGCATAATTCTCTGGAGACCCATTCAGGCCAATGCATGTATCAATAGTTCTTTCCTTTTTATTGGTGAGGAAGTAATTTCACAGTATTACCACACAGATTGCTTAACCATTCACATATTGAAGGACGTCTGGGTTATTTCCAGTTTGGGGCTATTATGAATAAAACTGCTATAGACATTTATGTACAGGTTTATATGTGAACGAAAGTTTTCATTTTTCTAGGATAAATGCCCAGGAGTTCAAATGCTGGGTATTATGGTAGTTGCATGTTTAGTTTCTTACCTGTCAAACTGTTTTCCAGAGTAGCTGTACCATTTTACATTCCCACCAGCAAATGTACGAGTGATCAATGGTATGATAGGTAAATTGTGGTCTGCTCATACAGTAGAATATAATACAGACAGAAAAAAGAATGAAGTGCTGATGTATGCCAAATGTTGGCGAACCTTGAGGACATTATGCTAAGTGAAAGAAGCCAGGCACAAAAGGTCACATATTGCATAATTCCTTTTATAGGAAATATCCAGAATAGATAGCAGACGCAGAGAGATAGATTGGTGGTTGCCAGGGAATGGGGGGAAGAAGGAATGGGAATAACTGCTTAACAGATATGGGTTTTCCTTTTGGGGTGATAAAAACTTTTGGAAGTGGCTAGAGCTGGTGGAAAACATTGTGAGTGTACTAAATGCCACTGAATTGTTCACTTTAAAGTGGTTCATTTTATGTTATGTGAATTTCATCTCAAAAAAGTTAGTTTAAAAAAGGCAGTTGCAAATGCTGTTATGTTTTTAATTTCTGCCTCCAGGTTGTTTTTGGAAGAGGTAAGACCTGGAGGAAACTAGAATACTGGAGGGTATACTTGAAAATAGTGAGATGTAACAGCTTAAAACATGGTCCAACCTGTTGTCTATGGCTCAGCATCATTAACAATTGCAGTGGCACCTGAAAAGTCCTGTGGTCATTTTTCTCAGGAGAACAAACCGAATCTTTATTTTATGCTCCTACAGCTAGTTCACTCGCATTCCAGTGACCTGTTTGGAGGTCCAGTTCCCTGCATTTCAGAGACAGAGCAGAGTTTCTGATAACCAGGATTGGTTTATGCATGACTCTTCTTTCGTCTGTTTATCTAGTTAATAAATGTAAGAAGGTGACCATTTCTTTCTGAGCCAAGAATCAAATTGTAACTTCCAGAAAACATTTTTCCCTTACAACCTTGCCTCTTCTAGTTTAAAATCCCCTTCCAGGGTGGCCCTGTACAAACTTAATTCTTCAGTAAGAACTATAATGACTGCTAATACTTATTATATGCCAGGTTCTAGTCTAAGCTAATTACATATATTTATTCCTCACAACAATCCTAAGGCCCAGCTGGTGTGGCTCAGCGGTTGAGCATCCATCTAGGATCCAGATGTAGGCTCAATTCCCAGTCAGGGCACATGCCTGGGTTGCAGGCTCCATCCCCAGCAGGGGGCGTGCAAGAGGCAGCTGATCAATGACTCTCCTCATTGCTGTTTCTCCCTCTTCCTTCCTCTCTCTCGAGTCAATAGAGATATATTAAAAATAAATAAACAATCCTAAGATATAGGTGTTTGGCTGTCCTCACTCTACAGGTGAGGAAACCAAGGCAGAGTAAATAACCCAAAGTCTCCCAGCTAGAGAGCAGTGTCTGGTTCGAGTCCGTGCAATAACCCTCTAACAGCATAGACCGCATGTGGCCAAGAGCAGACACACTTTGTGTGATGATTGGAATCTCTCTGACAAAATGAAATGTAGTACTTTATGGGGAATACAGGTTAAACCACAAGTACATGTATTCCTCGAAGAAGAGAGTGCCAGCATTTAAATTTTAAAATGTTTATTGTCAACTGTCTCTGCGGCTTGCTTGCTCTTATTAGGCTGATAAAACAAAAACAATTCCAGAGCAGAGTGACTCACCAGCACCGTCATTAAGTTGCAAATCTATCCTTTGTCACAGAGCAAGATTACACTTCAGATCAACTCAAGAAAATAACTGCATAGAAAAGTGTTCACGGAAGAACCCACATCCACATATCATGCATTCGGTGCCTCATGGTTCCCTTTGCAACTGCCCAACTCCTAACCCAGTTTCTTTTTTTAGTCTGAAAACAAGGAATCAGTCCAGTGAGATATCCCTTCAGAGCACTGTTGAAAATACTTTAAACGCAGATATATCCCAGATCCCTGTTCCAAATGTTAAAAACATATTAAATGAGCACATAGAGAAAATACCCAAAGGTACAGTCTAGTATGTTCTAAGGAGTTTTTGTTTCCCCCTTTCTGAGAATGTCTTCAATTTCTTCGGAGACCCTTCCTCTGTAGTTATTTGGTTCTATCGCATTTAACTTCTTTTGATACTCCAGTGGCAGACCATTCTCTTTGGCACCCATGCAAATGACCTAGAAATGGTTAAAATAAACAAAAACACCTCTTTTTAGTTAGGAACAAATTTCTCTTAGTACACCACAGTTGTATTTGCAGTATCAAAGCATGAAATACCAGCTTTCAGATAACTTTAGAATAACTCTAGAATAAACAATTATGAAACAACATGGAGACAGGTCATTCCGTTCACAGTGGGGATGAACAGCAGGAAGTTTTCAAAGCCCCATGCTAGGTCCTCAAGGAATGTCAATATTACTCATTAGTATGATTTTATATATTTTTATATTAAGACAAAAAACTTATTGTATGGACTTTACATAGTCTTTTAAGAAAAAACATCATTCTAAAAACTTTAAAGCTTAAAGGGAGCAGTTTTAGTTGAATCCCAGAGTCTAGTCTGCCTGTGAATTAGATGTGAGGAAATAAAGGGCAGTCATATTCAGTGGTACTTCCCAGATCCACACCAGGCTAATCCTCTAGGTCCCATACTGGAAAGTTCCAGAGCAGGCCTGGAACTGGGTCACCCCCTCTGGTGCCATGTCCTGTTTGGGCCTGGAAACAATACCTAAGTTGGGTTTTCTGGAAAGGGATGCTGGGGTCCCTACCCCACATTTTTTCCTGTGCTTGTTGGGAGTGGTTCCCTGAAAGGCAGTGTGACTTTTTTTTCCTATCTAGGGATGGAAAACATTTCAGTAGTAGGAAATATATTTTTCCCCCATTAATCTTGGTGTTCATGTTTTATGGAGAAAAAAGAAAAAAAAGATTACAAAAGCCTGTGTATAGAAAGAAAATATATGTCTACAATTATGACATATATTTCTAAAAGCTTTTTTCAATAAACTTTTAAGAACATAGTTTTACCATTACAAATAAATCTGAACAGTACACTTCAGGTAAATATAATTTTTGTATTTAAAATTTTTCATTAAAATGAATTGTTCATGTAGAATTTAAAACACACCAAACTTTTAAAAAACAAGATATTCTTTAGTTTAGCTCAGTGGAAATTAAGAGGAATCACCAAAAATCTCAGTAAGTAGCTTACCTTTTTATACTGGGGTGAAGGGGGAGCGCTCTCATAATTTCTCATCTGATAACTTCGACAGGTTATTTGTTTTCCTTCTTGAGTGCAAACATTAATTTCCATTGGGACATATGTTCCACTGTTAACCCCTTCTTGCCTGAAACCAGAGCAGCCAAATTTTAACCATACTTGACTTAGCCAAGTTAGTTTACTGGATTAAGAATTTAACTATATATGGATGTATTTGCTCCCTCTGTATTTTGGGATATAGTAGAACACATTATAATACTACCACATCAAAAGTAAACAGCATTTCAATTAGAAAATCCGAGACTTGCTATTACTTGGTCAACTTCTAACAGATCTCTATGTAAAAACATGCCTCAGTGTAGTTTTCATTTTTAGACCCCTGAAACATTGCTCTCTAGGCTCCAAAGAGTAGACTGTGTGTTCTGACAGCAGGAGACTATCCAGACCTAGGAGAGCAGAGAGGATGGCTTATTGTCATTCACAAGTGAGGTAAAGTACCAAGCATGCCAGATAATCTGCTCTTCTCAAGTTCTGCTCTTTCCTACCAACTTGCTTTGTATGAAATGCTCGGCCACACACTAGTGGGGATTCTAGTTACAAAAAGTATCAAAGCATCCCTAGTACCTTGTTAAAGTTTTAACAAATTATTCTTCCTTTTTACGGATTCAACTGCCATCAGAAATAATTAGTTTTTAAAAACTGGCTCTAATGAAAACTGAACAACTGCTTCCAAAATCAATAAACATATGTAACAATTACAAAAATCTTCATGCTTCTTCACCATGTGAAACTACGAAGATTTTTATAAGATAGAATGAAAATAAGGACTTCCATCTTTTACAGGAGAGATTACATATGTCACCCCCAAATCTCAATCAGAAAGTGTGGCCCTTCTAGGCTTTTTCTTTTATTTACTTTTAAAATATGTTTTTATTGATTTTTAGAGAGAGGAAGGGAGAGGGCTAGAGAGAGAGAACCACCGATGAGAGAGAAATATCAATGATGGGGCTGCCTCCTGCACACCCCCTACTAGGGATTGAGCTCTCAACCAGGGCATGTGCCCTGACGGGGAATTGAGCCATGACCTCTTAGTTCCTAGGTGGAAGCTCAACCACTGAGCCATACCGGACAGGCTAGCCTTTTCTTTTAAGGAAATGCACATTATACCTTTCATGTTAACTCTAAAGTGTAAAGAATATGTCTGTAGTATATGGCTTTGAAAAACCAACATATATATATATACACACACATCCTTGCATATGATCCACTTTTGGAATTTGTAATTATTTAACTTATAATTAGAAGTCACCTACTTATCCAGAGAACTTAAATTGCTTTTGTTCATTTTCCATACTACTCCCCATACTTCATCGCCAGGACTTTGAAAAATGGTGGCTATACCTCCATGCCAAGTTTCACTTGTTTTGCCTTGGAAATTGCCAAAGTCAAGCTTATAATCCTACAAAGAAAACCAAAGTGATATATATGATCAATATTCTCTTGAACCAAAATTGCCTTCCTCAAGAAAAAAGGATTTACCTTGAATTTCATGCAATTAAAACATAAACTTTGAGTTCCTTCTATGGGTAAAAGATGTGGAAAATTCAAAGATAAACAAAAACCCAGATCTCAAGGACTGTATGTTTTTATATTTAAAAAAAAAAATGAAATGTATACTTAATACGTACAGTATCTTACCACAAACAAAAGGTTTAAGGGGGGGGAGAAAAATCCTATAATCCACGACTATTTTCATTTTTTCAAAACTACTTCCCAGTCTACTTACACATAGATTTTAACTTGGCGGCAATCATAGTGTGCATAATTATTGAAACTGGGTGAAAGCTACATACGGGGTAGAGAGTGCCAGAGCCCGACTCCCAATTTTGAAGCTTTGAAAGCCAGAAGTTGGTTCTCCCAGCTTCACTTGGGCACATGGCACAAACTCCACCCTGGTGGTGGCGGACATCTGGGTTTCAGGATCCCCAGGGGTGCAGCGACAGCGGCGGGCAGGGTCCAGAGCAGGTGGTGCGGGCGATGCCCGGGCGGTGTCCTCATGTACCGGGTTCAGCAGGGCTGCAGTCTGGCCTCCTGGGCTGCTTCTGGCGCTGACACTGGCTGTGTCACGGCTGCCGGCCTCCCTTTATGCCTGCCTGTTTTGTCAGCTTTGTGGTCCTAACTTCCCCGTCATTCCGTAAGCTCTCCAACAGCCTTTCAATGTGTTCTTTTTCAGCTTAGATCAGCTGCTTTCTGTTGCTTGCAGCTAAGAACCCTGATAACAGCAGAGACCATGTCTGTCTCCTTCAACAAGCCCAAAGGTTTTGTTACATAATCCGTCTGGATGTTTCTCCTGCAGCCTGGGAGGTTCTCAAAGCTTTACTCAGTCATCTTTGTGTCTCCAGGTAAGTGCTGGAAGAGCTTGTGCTGAATGAATGAATGAATGAATGAATGAATGAACCGAAGAACAGATTTTTACCCAGGTGGGTGACAGTTCATCCAGCCACTTAACTGAGCACAGTCCTTACAAGAATAAAAGACACGGTTCCAGCTTTCAGGGCTTCTGGGGGTGGGCGTGGGGGGCGAAAGAGAGGCGAGCGGATTTTTTTACAATACCAGGTGACAAGTCCAGTAGCAAAGATGATGCCTACAGAGCAGAAAGCAACTGATTCCCTGACTTGGGTCAGAGAAAGCTGCTCAGAGGTGACAGATGAATGGGTGCTGCGAGGACACCCCTCAGTTAGAGGGCGAGAGGAGGCCAGATCTGGGCAGAATGAGCAGTTGTGGAAACGACAGGAGGGGAGTCAGGGCAGCCTGGGGGGCACCGGGGAGTCAGGGCAGCCTGGGGGGCACCGCGGCCGGGGCGGCCGCCCTCGGGAGGGGTCAGGCACCCGGCCGGGAGGGCGGCGGCCGGGTGGTGAAGACGCGACCTACTCTCACGGGGAGAGCTGCGATCCCGGGCCCCGCGTCTGCGCTGCGGGCGCGACGTCGCCGGGGTCCGGCGGGGGCACTGACCTGCAGGCGG